GACACGAGGCAATCAACCACTTATTTGCAACAATGTGCAATGAATGTATAAGACAACCTCGGGTCCCCAGGTGTGTCTTTGATAGGACTTGAACACAAGGCCTCTGTACATATTCTCTAAAAGTTCAGAGAGTAACTCACACCTCTTGATGGGTTCCTCACTTTTTTACAGCAAATGAGTTCTGGGACATGGTCTGTGTGACTAAAGATCTAAGAAGAGTCTCTTTTGGTTCCATAAACAACCATCTCCTATTTCAACCTTTTCTTTTTTTTAAGATTTTTTATTTATTTATTTGACAGAGATCACAAATAGGCAGAGAAGCAGGCAGAGAGAGAGGGAGAAGAAGGCTCCCTCCTGAGCAGAGAGCCCGATGTGGGGCTCGATCCCAGGACCCCGAGACCACAACCTGAGCTGAAGGCAGAGGCTTTAACCCACTGAGCCACCCAGGCGGCCCTTTTATTGAGAGAGAGAGTGCAAGAGAGAGCCCCCAAGTGCACTTCTGCACACACACCAGGGGGAGGGAGGAGGAGAGAGAGAGGGAGAGAGAGAATCTCAACCAGGCTCCATACCTCACATGGATCCCGACACAGGGATCGATCTCAGGACCCAGAGATCCTCGCCTGAGCCAAAATCAAAAACCCAGTGCTTAATGGACTGAGCAACCCAGGTACTCCCTATTTCAACCTTGCAAATTGACTTTCCTGAGCAAATAAGGATTTGCTTTTCTTTTAAATAAGGATTATATTCCTTTTCTTCTTGTAAAAGCAAAATATATCACCATAGGAAAATCAGAACATACAAGTGAACCAAAAAAAAAAAAGAGAGAGAGAGAGAGGGAGAGAGAGAGAAGTAGTAAGAAACACCTGGCAGATACGGTTCCTTCGCTCTCCCAGTGCCATGATGCCTGCCAAGAAGGCTCCCTGAGAGAGGAGCTTGCCTCCTCCAAGCTTGCTTCTCATCCAAACTTGCCTCCTCTGGAATTCACTCAAGCCTTTTAATTTCATCTCAAAGTGCCTTAACATTCCAAGAAGAACCCACTGCTCTCTCAGGGGCTTGCTCCCCACACATTCGGTGGGCAGTTCACACGCAGGGCAACGATGGCAGAGTTTTGCCAGTGGGTGATACCTCCACAGCCCTGAACAAGCCAGACTCCCCAGGGTGCTTGGAATGGCCTCCAGCCCCTGCCCACACCCCAATCCCAAGGCTACGGGGACAGTTGATGAATTCTAACACAAAGTGGTGTGTTGGTGCCCACTCCAGTCTGTCTTCTGCTTTCCAGGATAATGCCCATCCTGTCTCAGCCTCCTTCCTTCATCCCTCCCTCCAGCCCTCTCACAAATGCATTCCCTCATCCGTTAGGCCAAACAACAGGCAGCCTGGGCTCTAGTCTGCTCTTCTGCAGGGAAAGGGGCAGCCAAGTGTCAGTAGTCAAAGCTCAAAGCAGCTCTGGAGGGAATCTGGAAGAGAGACTGCGTCCACTGAAGCCCCCCAAAAGCCATGGTGTGTGTTGTGTGTGTGTGTGTGTGTGTGTGTGTGTGTGTGTGTGAAGGTCGTCTCCGGTTTGATCCAAAACAGATTTCTCTCCCTCTATCATAAGAGATCATCTCGGCCCTCGTTCCTTTACGGGACCCCCCATTGCACGTGGGCTGTGGATCTCATTCCCAGCTACAGTAGCCGTCCCATCTCTGGTTCTTAGCCAATGGAAGAAATATTTCCAGTTTTCCCCCTGGGGAAGCAATGTCACTTTTCTGCCAGAGATTCCACAAACTGACTTGTAAAGGGACTGTCACTTGGTGAATGCCAGTGCATAAGTGCCCTGAGTGCAAATAGGGATAAAAAAATGATTTTTTTTCTTTTTAGAATCCTACTTGTGTTTTGGATCCTTGTCATAATAGGGAGTATTGCATTTGACAAATGACTAGTGATGCTCTGTAGTACCCAAAGTGACTAGTATTTGAGTAAGAGTCTTTAGTTGTTGGCTTATGAATTTGCTTCTTGAATTTCTCAAGGTGGCCTGGCCTGAACAGTAGGAAAGGGGCTCAAACTCAGCACAGGGTCTCTTCCTGCTGTGGGCTCTGTCATCATCTGCTATTCCCTCCAGCTGTGCTCCTTGGAGAGTTCCAGATTCCCTGAGGCTCTATTCTAAAAAGAAAGCCTCCATTCTGGACCTGCCTGCCTGTCTGTGTAGAATCTCAACAGTAGAACATGGCATTTCACTCATTCTTGAGGTCTGGATGTTCCAGAAGCTTCCAGCAAGGTTGCCAGAAAACCAGCAGCACAGGATCCACAGTTCTCCTGGCTGCTTTTCCCAGAGCCTATGAGCCATGACAAAAACGGAATGTGCTCACCACAGAACCCCGGAAAATTTTCTAATGAGTGGGGTTGGTGGCATCAGGTTCAGATTGAACATCTGCAAATAATTTAGATATGTGCTATCCAGTAGAGAAGCAACTAGTCACAGATGGCTATTTAATAAAATTAAATTTAAATTAATTATTAAAATTAAATATAACTAAAAATTCAGTTCCTCACACTCATCACGTTTCAAATGCCCCATAGCCACAGGTGGCCAGTGACTATAATATTGGACAGTTCAGATATAGAACATTTCCCTCATTGCAGAAAGTTCTGTTGGCCAGCTCTGGTCCAGACATTTGTGAATATATGATGTATTTGAGTGTGTATCTCTATTTTATCTACACAGCAATTCTTCAGTATAGGAAGTAATATCTCCATTGTATGGGTAAAGAAAATGAGCTCAGATGGTTCAAATGCTTTGCCCATAACTGGACCTTCATTCTGCCCAAATAGCTCTCTACCTATGGGCTAGAGCCCGAAAGATTGGTGGTCACGTATCAGTTCATCTGTTATGTTTCTGACCCTGTTGAGAAGAAATCGCATCTTTTTTGAGAGATCTAGCTAGGATCTTTGCATACTCTGACTTCCAGAGCCTAATGCTTGCTCTCCACCAAACTGGATGATTTCCCCAGAGCGTGGTACCGCACCTCCACCACCACCACCACTAGATCTCCATGGCCAATGGGTATTTCATGCATCAATCAGCATCAGCATCCATGCAGAGGGCATATAATGGCAGCACTCCATGAAACTATTAAAGCATATATTTTGAAAGTTCCTCAGGAGAGTATTGACTTTCCCAATGAGCCACCGAGTAAGTTTCAACAAGCCCTCCCCTCCCAGGTCTGTAGCTTTGCTTCCAAGGGTCATGCAGAACCAAGGCTGGGCTCTGAGCTCGGTGTGGGATCATCTTTTCATAAATGGGCTCCGCAAGACGTGTGTTTTAAAATACCCACCATTTTACACTCCAAAATAAAATATCCTATCAAGGAAGGATATTCACATAGGGAAAAGCCCAGGGAAGTACCCCATAGTACTAGGGGAGCTAGTACCATGATCCCGGCACTATGCTCCATGTTTCCACACATGGTCTGATTTAATCTCACAAAACCCACCCACGATGACAGTGAGACTTCGAAGTATGCCAATAATTTGCCCAAGCTCTCCTGACCAGTAAGCATAGAAGAGAATTCTAACCCAAATGGATTTATTCCCAAAGTCTGGAGTCTTTCCATTACACCATGCAGTTTAATGTGGTTTACTTTGTTATGTTTCTCATGCAAGAACCTTTAAGCATCTTGCCTTCAAGGGAGGCCATATCCAGGAAGGAGATCGGTTGTGTGGAAAGTCAGCTGAGGAATGCTTAGGCTGACCCTCCATGGGGCTCCAACTCTGTGACCAGAGAGGCTTCTAAATTCCCCTGATCTTTCAAGGGATACTCCTTCACTAGGATTAATAACCTCATTTCAGCTTTTTCTGTGACAGTGATTACAATCACAATAGCAATAATTTTATTTTATTTATTCATCTGACAGAGACAGAGCAAGAGAGCGAGCACAAGCCAGGGGAGAGGCAGAGGGAGAGGGAGAATCAGGCTCCCCACTGAGCAGGGAGCCTGATGCGGGGTTTAATTCCAGAACCTTGGGATTATGACCTGAGCTGAAAGCAGATGCTTAACCGATTGAGCCACCCAAGTGCCCCAGCAATAATTTTTATTTATCAAGATACTTAGCACTTCAAAAGAAAGGCCTTATGAGGTCCTGTCTCAGCTCATAACTTTGGGACAACTTTGGGTTGTCCCAAAAGTAGACTCAGGGGGCGCCTGGGTGGCTCAGTCGTTAAGCATCTGCCTTTGGCTCAGGTCAAGATCCCAGGTTCCTGGGATAGAGGCCTGCATCAGGTTCCCTGCTTGGCAGGAAGCCTGCTTCTCCCTCTCCCTCTGTTGCTCCCCTCCTTGTGGTGCCTCTCTCGCTGTGTCTCTCTCTGTCAAATAAATAAATAAAATCTTCAAAAAAAAAAAAAAGTAGAGGTGAGATTTGGGTGCTGACAATTTTTTGAGAGAAGCTCCCAGGAAACGCCAGTGACAATTAGAGATGTGAGACAGGGAGGAGGAAAAGAGCCAGACAGGAGTGCATTGATAAGCAAGTTGTCACCATACGCAACAGGGTGGACATTGAGGTGTCCCACTGAGGGATGGATGCCAGGGTATATTCCCCTGTCGCTTTCTATTCAAATCACTGGTAAGGGGTGGTCCCTGAGAGGTTCAGTCCCTGACACTTTGGGGCTGCCCTGCACATTGGCTGAGCTAGCTCTCATGATGTGGGGAAAGTTCCAGAAGAGCAGCTCATAGATGCCAATACCTGAGGTGCGAAGTGGTCAGAACACACGGGAGCCACAGCTGCAGATGAACTCAGAGAGAGCGTGGAGGGAGGAAGTAAGAAGGGCGTGGGCAGCCTCCACTCCATTTCCCCTCCACACAGAAAGTATGGGTAAGAGCCATAGGTAAGGAGCTCAGGCTCACGCTGCTGGTCTGTCTGATTAGCTCCAAAGCCCCTGCTCTTTCTGGCACCTGCAGCTGCCTTCAAAACCCCAAGTATAGTGTGTCTACCCCTTATCATATCTCCTCATCCCTTTGCCCTCAGGAAAATACCATCCACTGGCAAGTTGGTGCTGAGCCTCACCACCGATGCATGTGAGGGGAAAGAAAATTTCGTCCGCTATCTTGAGCACGTCCAAGCTGTCATCACAGTCAATGCCACCAGGAGAGGAGACCTGAACATCAACATGACTTCCCCGATGGGCACCAAGTCCATCTTGCTGAGCCGGCGTCCAAGGGATGACGACTCTAAGGTAGGCTTTGACAAGTGGCCTTTCATGACCACCCACACGTGGGGAGAAGACGCCCGAGGAACCTGGACCCTGGAGCTGGGGTTTGTCGGGAGCACACCTCAGAAGGGGGTGCTGAAGGAGTGGACACTGATGCTGCATGGCACGCAGAGCGCCCCTTACATCGACCAGGTTGTGCGGGATTACCAGTCCAAGCTGGCCATGTCCAAGAAGGAGGAGTTGGAGGAGGAGCTGGACGAAGCTGTGGAGAGAAGCCTGAAAAGCATCCTTCATAAGAACTAGAGCCGCAGCCGGGCCTCGACTGCCTCCCTCCCTCCCCCATCTCTGCCTCTCTGTCCTCATTCCACATTCTGTCAGGAACCTAGCAATTACTGTCACTCTCTCATAAGCGATTCCAACCTCTCAATCTGAAGCTTCACTCACTGTCAATGATTTTTTTTGTCGCAATGGACGCAATCTTTTTACTTCTGTGCCCCAAATACAGTGTTCCCACCAAAACCTCTGTCCTATTTGTGACTCTAAAGTTCTTTATTTGTGTCATTCGGATAGGCGATAGCCAGCAAACAAAACTGGGACAGTTTCCCCTCCATTTTGTTCCTATCTGAGAAGAGAATGCATGTAAAAAGCCACATGCAGTGACTCCAAGAGCATTTATTCGTGGTCTCAGCTGAGGACCTGCTACACAAAAAGGGAAAGATAATAACAGAAGGTAAGCTCTGAATGTCTAAAGCACAAAAGATGCTGTAGGTCCTTTGGGGGAAAATGTTTGGAATTTAGCAAGATTTTTCAGTGACGTAGATGAAGGTAGGGTGATGCACAATTCGCCATCCATGACAGCCCTAATCACTGGCTGGGGAAGAGAGGGTCAAAAAGCATGAGCGTTGGAAATCGTTCCACCAACACCAACAGCATAACTTGTCCTACTCAGCCAGCGTGATCCATGTAAAAACCTCAGTAGCGTGGCTGTCCTTTCACCAGCTGCTCTTCTGTCACGGTAGAATCTGCTAGAGAAGCCCAAATTATTCCGTTTGTATAGAATTCATCCCAGCCCCAATTTTCTGGGGTTCCTCACATAGCTATCCGAAAGAAAAAAAGGCGAGGGAAGTCTGGCAACACGCCTAGGAAAGAATAGCTCGGTGGCTTAGAACACAGGAACGTTCCTCTTCCTCAATCACTTTGGAGCTTCTGAATCTGATGTGAGTAGTGAGATGAGTATTTTGGGTGCACATACACTTGGGCTTTGATCTCTAAAACATATGGTTGTGGTTCTTTGATGCGTTGGGGAAATGGCCTCCATTCTGGAAGAGGTGTGTGAAGGGTGAAGGGGATGTGTCTGAGGATGCGGACCGTCATTTGTGTGGAGCCTCTTCTGCCAAAGGGGGGACATGCTGACCCATCCCCTAGCAACAGGGGGCCGAAGGAAGCAAGAGAAGACCTCCATGGGGAAAGCACACAGTTACCATCTTGACAACTGAGCAACCCCTGAAGATGTTTAACAGGCAACCCAAAGGTGACACACTCCTCCCCCTGCTGACCCCGCAAGACACAGCACCATTTCATTACCAAATAGAAATGCTTTCTATTGGACCCATCATCGCTTTGTTTTTTATCCCAAGGATTGGCCCCTTTATGGGTTTGATTTGATTCCGGAGAACTGATCGACCACTTCTGGCTGCATTTCTCCCTTCCTGTGGGAGCATGTGGCTAAAGCTCAGAGTTCCTTTCCTTAAAGCCAGCAACGCAAGGGCACTAAGTTCCATTCTTTGGAGGTGGCGACTTTAAGTGAAAACTCTGGAAAACCCATTTTCTTTCTTTTCTCTGCCCCCCCATATTGGCATGTATGTCTGTCTTCTCGAACACCATATGACCTTCTCTCTATAATGCTTTAAAATGTAATAATATTTATGATTTTTAAAAGAAGTTTATTACCTGTTGTGAAGGTCTTTTTAAACCAGTTTAGATTTAAAGAAAAAATTAAGGGAAACCATCAAAAATTCATTTCATATAACAGTCTGAAAATAAACCAAAGGACATTATGTGTGCTTATGTGTATAAGTGCACACAGAAATATATATATATGTAGACTATATACACGTGTGTATGTATGTGTGTGTATATATACACTTGTATAAATGTAGATACACACATATGCCTAAAATGTGTGTATGTGTACTTATTGAAGAAACTGACACCATATTCATCTCTAAAAGAATATTCAGAGAATATCAAGATGATTCTGGCTGAAGAAAAAGGCCGGTGGAAATTCAGGTGAAAGTGTTCATTGATTCCCATTGCCTCACTTCTGTAATTTTGCAGCTTTCTGTATAAACATTAAATGTCTTATATAGCAGCAAAAATATAAAATAGTTGTCCATATTTTCACAGCTGTGGTATAATTTATGAAATTAGAGAATAACTTAGCAGCTTCTTAATAGAAATGGCCAGTTTTGATATAAGGATACAGTATATAAAATATATATATAGTGCTATATAAAAATATTTGGTCTCTATTTCGTTTTTTGCACCAGTATTAACACAAAAATATGTCTGGCTAGTGAGGTTTTTATGATATCCCTGATCCTAATGCAAGAGACAGTTATTTATAATCATTTATTTTAAAAAATGAAAATAAGTGAATTAATCAAGTTAACATTGTTACTCCCTGTGACAAAATTTTATAAGTAAATTTAAAAAGACATGTTGTAAATTAGGAGACTCAACAATAAAACATTACCTTCCAGAAACCATGTGGGATGCGATATATATTACATAAAAACACTTTCATCCATTCCAAGAGTAGATAATAAAAAGTTCCCAAAGAGTGATCTAAAAAGCCTGCTTTCACAAATATGCCTGAGAGATTTATAATTAGCAGATCAGTCACATACAAATTATGATCTACAGCAGCATTTTTCAAACTCAGGTTATATGCCATTAATAAGTTATAAAAAAAATTTAGGGAATCAAGACTAATGTTTTGGAATAGAATAAAACAGAATAAAATAGAAGTGAAACTAGAATAGAATAGATCATGCATTTTAGTGGATATTGTTTCTTGAAATATTTGTTCTGTGTGTGCGTATGGAAAGCGAGAATGTGCATGTGTGTGCGTGTGTGTGTGCATTGGCTCACAAAGTAAATATTTCTTACTGTGGGTCATGGTCAACAATCTTTTAGAAAGACTCTTCTAGAATGTACTCATCAAGCTAGACTGAGTTATGCTGTAGTAACAAACAGCCCCCAAATTTTAGTGGCTTAACACTGCAAAGGTTTACTTATCATTCACATGAGTTCCTCTGAGGGTTCAGGAGACTCCCTGAGGCCACAGACTCAGGGACTCAGGGTGCTTTAATCTTCGGCATTATGGTTTGTAATCACAACACAAGACTCCTAAGTGACCACACAGAAGAGAACCCATGGAGGACCCTCATCCTCTCTTTATGTTCAGCCTGAAAGAGATACATAGGCCATTTGAGCTACTCTGCATTGGTCAATACTGGTTAGTGACCCTGCCTCAATGCAAGGCAGCTGAGAAATGCAGGACATCTAATGGAAAACTTGATGAGCTTTGGAGAGAGCTTGACATTCTCTTAAAATATACTAAATAACTGATTCACATGGCCTCCTCTCTTCATGGACAGTACCGTGAACAGTACTGTCACCCATATGACCACAAACTATTCTAGCAATCTTAACAGTTATAAATAAAATACTGATGTATTTATCATGCATGGTTCATTGTGAAAACAATGTTTAATTTTGTCCTAAGATATAAAACTTATCAAACCCAGTTAGTAAAATCTTAAGAGAGGCTGTGACCAGAAACAGACATAGAAGGTGTAAGGTCCAAAGTCTGAGGTTGTGACCGAGACACTGCTTTTCTATACTTAAGTTCAAAAATCGATTTCCAAAAGATAAGTTAAAACTGATCATTCTTCTAGTGTTATTACTGTACTGTCATTGTTAATGATCCCTTATAAGTTAACAAGAGTTATTTTCATGTGATCAGTGCCTTCCATTGTTTGGACTGAAAACCACATACTACAAAACCTTTGGGAAACATAGCTCAGCCTTTTAGGGTTAGAGAAGGAAATGCTTAATTGGGGAACTGGTGCTCTCATAGCCAGAGCAAGTTCTTGCATGCAAAGAGTTTATTTTGATAGAAATTTCTAAAAATCAAAATGCCAAGATTAAAGACAGTAGTTGTGAGAGAGAATAAAGGGTTCTAAAAACTCTGAGAGTCTGAAATAACATCAGCACAGAATGTGACCTGGACCAAGAAAGATGATTTGGCTGCAGCCAGCTGGGTGGTTCTCTGTATCCAAAGAAGGAATGAGTCAACAGAAAAGGTGGGGAGAGGGGCCAACATTCAGCATGTGGGAGCTTAAGAAAATGGAGAGTCAGGGGAACAAAAGTTGGCGGATGGGATCTGGAGCTGTTAAGGGTAGGGAACCACAATAGGCTTGGTACAAAGGGGAATTCCAGTCTTGGAAGAGCTGAAGTCTATTGAGGACAGAGCCCAACACATGGGAAGCCAACCTCAGTCAATACCACCCACCTGCCAACGGTCAGATTCCATGCCTACCCACAGCTTCCTGAGCCTTATTTGGCTTCCAAGGGACATTAACACTAGGAGAGGGGATAACCAACACGAGGGACACCAGTACCTGGATCTCTAGGGGGAAAGATCCCCCTTTTCCATTGCAAAGTAAGTAGTTCTTCAGTTTTTCCACTAGTCTCTTATGTATTTAGTTGCTAAGAGACCCTTTCCTTGGGTTCAAAAAACGTCAGTTGACTTTGCTTGTGAATCATAAGGGGTGAGGAATCAAAGTTTAACCTGAGGCAAGTTCTCCAAGCCAGCCTGCCAGCTTCATTTTTCTCTTAGAAGAGTCTCACTGTTTTGAACCTGAGGATAGAATGAACTGAGGGTGAGAAATGCACTTGGCCCAAAGGGATGAAGACTTTGTATTGCTAAATTCTTCATGTTCAGCACTACGTGGTTTGGGGTAGGGTGGGGGTGATTGGAAATCTCGGACCACAGAGTTTTAGATGCCTCAACAGCCAAATGATTCTCAGAATTCCTTTGGTTGGATGTTAACTGACCCTGATTTCCAACATGAGGCTTCAGACCAACCTGCCCTCGCCATCCCAAGTGTGGGTGACCCACCTCACAGTGCCTTCAAAGATGTCCCTTTGCACCCAAGAGGATACCCCACCAGCTACTCCAAGCTGGACAGAAGGCAGGTGCTGCAACTTGTTTCTTTCTCTGGAGCTGCTGACTGACCACAGGTGACAGATAAACGTACTAGGAAGCTCCTGAACACAAGGATTCAAGTTTGCAGGTGAAGAGGCAGGTGTGACTAGTGAGTACCAGCACTGCAGAGTTATTGACCAGGGATGTATCTCATGGTAGAACATACATCTCGGGGTACCTGGGTAGCTCAGTGGGTTAAGCCTCTGCCTTCGGCCCAGGTCATGATCTCAGGGTCCTGGGATTGAGCCTGCATCAGGCTCTCTGCTCACCAGGGAGCCTGCTTACCCCTCTCTCTCTCTCTGCCTGCTGCTCTGCCTACTTGTGATTTCTGTCAGTCAAATAAATAAATAAAATATTTAAAAAAAAAAAAAAGAATATACATCTCAACCCCAAAGCCCTGTTTGTTTGGATAAAATATAAGTCTGTGTGGCTTTTTGTGGCATTTATTTGTTTTCATCCATCATGAGAAATTGAAGTCAAGCATTGGTACTAATCAGGGTACCTGAATGACTCCTTTATCATCAATGTGCCAAATGTCATGAGTTTTGAGGGGACTTCATTCGCCAACACCCCAACTATGAACTTATGGTACAAAAATTGCAGGAAAACTAGATTATAATGGGTGCTTGGAGATGTTTTCTTACAAGCTTTACGTCGAGAGAACCAAATGGAACTTTCCAACATGAAAGGAGAAAGAACAAGTAGAGAAGCCAGGTTAGACGTGTCTTCTGATATGTAAATTCATTTTATGATAGACCCTGTTGGAGCATGCCCTATATGGGGGCTCAGCAAACTACAGTCCAGGGACCCAATCCAGCCTTCTGCCTGTTCTTATAAACACACTTATATTGTAAACAGTCATGCCTGTTGGCTTTTGTGTTGTATTTTAGCATGTTTTCATGCTAAAGCAGCAGGACTGAGTAGTTAGTTATAACAGAGGCCGTACAGCCTATAATCTGGCCTTTATAGAAAACGCTTGCCAATTTATCTCCTTGGCCTGTCCGGGAGGTCACCTGTAGACAGTTTCCGCACCTGCCGAGGATGCTCTGCTGGGGGTGTTCTCAGACTGCAGAGACGCCCCAGACCTAATGGGCAACAGGCAGAAGTGTCAGGGAATCAAGGCCCTGGGGCTGGAGCCACCCTGACCTGAGCAAGAATGGGAGCTGGTGCATAGATATCCCAGCTTCCTCGCCTCCTGTTGGGACAATCTGAAGATTTCCTACCTGGTATCTTCCGGGGTCATGCAGCCCGTGCCAGTGCCTCCCTTTCCTGCCTCACACCCTCTTCTGTACCAGTCAAAAAACAGGAATCCGACCCATGATGTTAATAAGGAAGAGTGAATATTAGGTTAGGCAGATACCTAACCGACTGAGTTAATAAGGAAAAGTGAGTATGAAGAAATATCACCTACTTAATTAGAAAGGCAAAAGAGACCACTAAAGGACACAGACCAAGCAATCTAATACATGCAAGTTAAGAGCTCACTGTGAAGAAGGTGGCTCTCTGGAACCATGGTGGGGTCCCCGAGA